AAGTGGAGTTTGGGGCTCGGGCCAGTCTCTATTGGAATTAATCCCATATGTTCTGTTGTTCACTTTACGCGGTACCCTGTGGGTTCAATTGACCGCGTAAATCGGGGTACTACTGTACTGTTTATAAATTCCTTCTGGGAATTGTATGAACAAAATAAATGCTTTGGAAAAAAAAGTCCTTTGGCTGAATAATGAAAGTTGGAGCTGAAAATCACATTTTGGGGCTGATTAGATAAATAAATGACCCATGAGAGACAGCCAGTCACGAAGAACCCCTGGACAGAGCTAATAATTACTGGTAACCTGAAGAAATGCAATGCTTGACATTAGAAGAATATTATGTGGACAAACAATCAATTGTTGCAACTCATGAGTGCAATACAGGCTAACTACCTTGTGAATCTCCATGACTCCTGGGCAAATTTACATAAATCTGACAATAGCCCTAATGACCACTTATTCACTATACCAATTCATCAACCAATGAAAGTCCATACCTCACCCATTTAGTTCTAATTCCCCTTAGAAATTTTCTAAAGGGAGGAGGAAAAAAGGATTGATCGTGGAATTCCATCTTCAAGCTGCGTAAAGACAAGGAGACTCATGAATTGTATCTATTAAGATTTGCCCATAACATTGAGAGTCAATCCTAATCAAACATTTAGCACAACTCTTCTGTTGCAACCACTGCCCTTAGAAATGGGAATAGTAAGTGAAAGTCACCTTTCAAGGCTGAGTACTAAATGATTCTTAGTGCAACAGAAGCTGGTGCCTCCCTTTTTCTATCATTACCCGTCTTGGATTTTTCAGTAAGCAGGCCACAACTTAGATGACCTCCACAATAAACTCATAGATAGGAGGGACAGTTCTGAGTCTCTTTGTCCCAACTCAGCTACAAAATGGGATTTCAAGCATCAATCATTTTCTAGTAGTTATATGTTGGTCCAAGGAGACTCAGGTATCAAAAACCTGTCAGATAAAAGGGAGGAAGTTGTAGAATGAAACTCCAATGCTATGTTGCCTTGCACTTCACAAGGGAAAGTAATTAAAAGTTACATATAGGAATGTCAAACTAACCATAAAAACTCTTCATCACCACACAGTGTTCCTGCACTATTTCCTCACCCAGACAGTGCCTCACAAAGGTTGCTCAGATGACCAGGTACCCCCTTTGTAGAATGTCTTCAGGGACATACCTCTTAAGAAGGCAAATGTTGAACAGCAAAATCAACAGCTTCTTAACTTATCTTTAATGTACTGTACAGTGCTCTATGTACATTTTCTTATGTATGAGTGAAAACATGAGAATATAAATAATTCTAATTAAAAAATGATTTGTGAAACTAATTATGTGCTGTACCTATATTTATTAGTATGATGTGTGAGCTTCCTTTTCAGCACAAAGGTTTTTTTTTAAACAGTAGTCCATGATGAAATAGCGCCTTAGTATTTTCCTATTATCTTTTGAGAATGATACTTTGTGTTCAGAAAGCAACAGCAGAAAATCATGTTTGTCACAACTATGTTCATGGCCTTGTCTGACAAGATGGGACACTAGCTTCTGACATGCAGCAAAAACATTGAAGGATTTTCTGGATCAAAAGTGTGTACAGTAGTAACAAATCATTATCTGATAAATCTATGAGTTGTTCTAGTGCAAATTTTATTATTCCAAAGACAAAATTAGCAGCAATTGAATTTCATTCATTAAAGTTTTAATACATGTACAGCCTTAAAATAAAATAAAAATCGTTGTTTTAAAGTGTTCAATAAATAATTAATTGTAGGCATTCACCTAATCTAGTTAGATGGTTCAGATATTCAAAAACATCTACCATAGTAGTCATCAATACACTTGCCCTACTGATGTAATGAAAAGGAAAAGTTTTGGGGGTTTTGGTTAGATAAAAATGAACAAAATGGGTCTCACAAGCACTGCATTTCACCAGGTTACATCTGCCCTACTAGGATATCCTATCCAATTCCAAAAGAAGCAGCAGAAATGAGGCCAGAATGAGATCCAGCAAGAGAAGACCGAGTGAGATTCAAAGAGATTGGAGAACGTCAAGTTGAGTCATTAGCACTCGAGTGAATTGCAGTACTATAGTTATGGAGGAAAGGTTCTTAGTGAATAATAATAATAATAATTATAACAATATTGTAGTATTGTAACAATAGTAATATAGTTGGATAGTAATTATAAAATGGAGGAGGGTATGAGCAGTCCTGAGGAACACCACTGTCAACTGAATAAAATAATGGAATGACCAGGCAGAAAACAGGGTGAGGGATGGATACCAATAGAGGGAAGCTTGAAGATAAGAGCCTAATGCCAGACCAAACCAAAGGCTTTTAAAATACAATATCAAGGATTGCAGCAAAAACATTCCAAAATCTCTGTTACAAGAAGTTCAGAGATAAGTGATATAAGAAGGAAAATTACTCTGGTGAATGTTGAATTCAGAGAGGCAGGATGAATATTAAGATTAAGTGAATGAGTGAATACAAAAAATCCCAGAAGACATTTTGTGAACATAATATGTATATAACCACTAAGAAACATAAACATAAAAACATCAAAATCCTTTTGGGATTTATTCACATCTTCAGGGAGTACAGTGTCCCATAAGAAGTAAGTAAATAATACCACACTAAATAGGGATAATCATCCAAAAAAACCTTAAAAGTGAATGACGTTTCGGCCAAATAGGGATAACTTTTGTTCTTACTGTTATAACTTGACAGAAATTAGTTCACTGTTAGCAAAATACATTGTCTTTTATTTAAAATGTCATTTACTAACATAACATACCCAAACAACACCAAAATTAGGATAGATAAGATTAGGTATACCATGTTAAGTTAGTAATGGTACTGCAGTACTGTATGTATCTGTTCATAATCTGTACTATGATTACTGTATCTATATAACTGTTCCTGGATACAGTTCAGCTTGAAAAAAAAAAATCCGGTTTTAGCTACAAGGCTGGGATAAGTGAAACTGCCCTGAACGTACATGGATTTTCTTGGTAAATTTGGGTATATATAAACAGGAACAGTTGAAGTTCCCATTTTGATGATATTTCTGTACTGTATTAAGTTTTCATGTGTGCACTTACAGTAACATCATAACTAAATAAATCAAATAATAGTGAATGAACACTATTGATGAGTAAACTGACCAATACAATCAGCATTTTTTCCACAACTGGTGCTATTGCTGAGTGGTACAGTATCAACTTCTGGTTTTGGTCTTTGATCCACAAAAGTACTGTAATGTATTTTCCATTTTTCCAAAACTCTGTTCCTCAATCTTGTCATCATCTTGGTTGAAAATTTTGCAGAATATTTAATAATACAGTACTTTTAAATGTGTCTGCATTCCTCCTGATAGTATGTGTGTATGCTGGACTTGTTCTCTCGGTATACTGTGTCAAGCCCAGCAGCTCTGTCACCATTTTCAAACTTTTCCACACAGTAATGTATCTCCAATTTAGTTTCTAGCGTAAAAATTTCTCAAGCTTCTTCAGGGTTCTTTATTTCAAAATACTTGAAGGACTCTTTGAAGAAATTATCAGTGGCAAAAAGAGGAAATTAAGTCAGTAAGTAGAACAAATGTTTACATACATCAAACTTCAGGCGATTTCTGGCGCACAAGATGTTTTCTCTTGATGCATTAAGCATGGGAAAGATGAAAAGGACCATCAAGCAAATTTTAAGAAAGTTTTATGGCTGGATGCCACTTTTCCAAAGTGGAAACTGGTCATTACTGTATATGTAAGGCTGCTAAGTGCAACCTCTTAGCTGGCAAGGGCAGCCAAGTAAACACTTGCTAAACTGATCTTCACTTAACCAGAAATTTCGATTCATCAGATTCTATCTTGCCTCTCCACAATTTTTGGAGAAACTCAGAAAATTAGAAACTATACTAAATTTTCACCAAATTTGTGTGGTCTTCTCTTTTTACAAATGCCACATGATTCATTTGGAATCTATCTTTAAAAATTTGGAAGTACATGAAGATTTTGTTAGAGATAAAATTAGTGAAGTTCACTGGGTTTCCATTTCTAATTGTCACATGTTCAGGGGGGGGATGTAGCACGCACTCCTGCATTTATTGGGATCTGTGCACATAACACTCTGGAAACTCTTGTTCTATGATACTATTTCTGGATCTTTTTGTGTGTGCTCTGTACTTTATATTTCAGTACAGTATTATGGTGAAAACGTGTGATAAAGGCAGTAGTAAAAGTTCAAAAGTGCATAAGTTATCAGTTTACAAAGTGACTCCAACTCTGATTTGAAGATATCAATTGACCTGCCACAAGACAGCTACTATGCCCTTTCACTCCCTACACTTCAGCCTCAAGGGGCGTAAATAGGTTATTCATGTAACAGACCTTGATTTTCCATTTTATGGAAAATGGATGAAACAGAATACTGTACCATATATGTTCATAAAATGGCCATAAATGTACAGTTAAGATGGATATATTATTTCAAGCCCTGGGAAACATTCTCCAGAAAATCTGAACATACACAAAAGTCAGACCCCTCCTCCCTCACTTAGCCTCAAATATCAGGACACTCAAGGGAATTGTTCTTAGAATCTTCTCTGATTTAAACATTAAAAAAAGAGTTAGACTTCAACTAAATGGTGTTATGAAGCAAGGTGGATTTCTTACCCATTTATATAGACTATGATTAGATGAGGTAGCTAGACTCATTGAGTACTTTAACAATCATAAATGTGTACCATTTTTTTAAGGTTGTGCATCAACCCCTGTACATCATCATGATACTGCTGTAAGAATATCATTCTTTGATTGGAAGCTAATACATAATATGACTCCTGGTGTTTTGACTGAACAATAAAATAAGAGTAAATTGCCCTAATTAGGACCAAGCTGAGTGTATTCCTTCCCAACAATCATCACTAATTACTAAGCTTGCTCCTCATATACCTGGACTCCCTATTACTCTACATAATCTCAACTAACCTGAGCCACTAACTGTGGCACTTCCGGTGCCGAATACAGATGACATGTCTTCCCACCTCCCAGACCTTCCATGGTCAAAGTTGGTGGTACTAAAGTCAGTCCATGACTCAGAGCTGTCCGATGTCTGGATTATTGAGACTTTTGTGGTGACTGGGACTGAAAAAAGTGTCCACACTACTGATTAGTGACGTGCCCATATTATCTGGTCTTTATTTAATGAAAATGTATAGCAAAAATTAAGGTCCGAGAATAATCATCCACATTCATGAAGTGTATTGGTTGCTGAGTGTCCTGATTTCAAGGTTCTATTCTTTATATAATATGTATATTATACTGTACTATATAAAACAATGGAGCTTGTTGCTTCTGGGGAGAGTGATATGCCTGTACAGTATTTCATTTATGATAGTCACTGTTAAATAATCCTATCCTTACCTTGTGGGGTAATGGTACATTAAGTTAAAACTGATTGTGTCAAGTTTGGAAAGTTACTATTGCACATTACTAGTTGATCCTTGCTTCAAAACATTGCAAATCATATTTCTTGTCAAGGTACTTTGAACAATAATCCTGATGTAAAATACTGTAGATTATTTGTAAATAACTATAAAAAATTTTTAAAGTCTCTTCATTAAAGGGTTTATCTTGTGCCAGATATGACAATAAGATGATATAGCTTTAAAGACTTAAAGCAAATAGCATTAACAAAGTGTACATAAAAAACACATAAGATTACTGCATGACAATTGGTTTGAAGTGTTTAGAATTGCAAATTTCTTTATATCAGAATCTTTCTTCAATTTGCTTTTTGGAGGTTTTGCAATAAAAATATTCCAAACACCCCTTTGTGATGATGTGATTCAACCATCAGTACTATACGTATTATGTACAGTGTATTTTGCAAGTTACACTTATTAGTGAGACCTATTCCATATATACAGCTGAGAGAGTGAGTGTGTTGAGTTATATATGAAACATTCTCTTAAATCATTATAGTATTGCCTGTTATGGGATTCTGATGCCATTTCATAAATCATTATAAAAATAATAGTCATACAAATATACATTATACATTTCATAAATAAATCAATAATTAAAAGAAAGTAATCATAAAATATTCAATTGAAACAATAATTAAAAATCAGAAAAACAAAATCAATTTTCGTTCATCTTGAAAACAGACCTCCAGACAAATAAAGTAAAGACTGCCACAAGTCCATTAGAGATCAAGCAAAAGAATGTGGTAATAAGAATCACAATATAACAATTGACCAAGTACAGTATTCGAAAAACAACTGCTTTTAAACTGGAATTTCAGAAACAGTAGATGGGTTTACCACACCTGTGAGTATTTTAAAATTGTGATCCTTCTTACTCCTCCCAATTAGAAATGGCTATCTGATATTATTGCAAAAGCAACACAATTCTACCACATACACATTTCTGCTACATACAAAAACTCTACCAATTCTAAGCATGCATACAATGTGTCATGATAAGGTTACAACTTATGGAAACAGATAACCAGGTGGGTATTACCAGGGAGAGGGAGCACAAGGGCAAATATAATACATTAAATATTAACTTATAACAAAACGAGACCTATCAAAACAAAATATGCCAATGGATAAATATTCTATCATCATTTTGTACTTGTAAATAAGTTTGCAATTCTATAACCTGTATCATATCACATGTTAAATTAAAATAAAACAAACATTACACTGAACGACAAGCTGATATATCAATGGTGTAGTGCATAACTGCTACAGTTAGGAGCTACTTACAAGGTGCTGGGGTAGCAAATATTAAGTATGCAATATATAATGATAGGAACTCACCTGTGAAATAGAATGTATCAGTCATCAACTTGGAAAAAACAAATAACTATGGCTCTTAAAAACATTATCATAAATAGTCTTTCAAAGGTAAAAATTTCTCTATTATTCCAGCTAACTTTCAACAATCACCACGGCCGCTTCAACAGTAATACAGCTATGAGGAATAATAATCAGGATATTTTGATTTTTCTTTTCATACCCTTGACTTATATCGATGTAAATTAAGTCAGAGGTCAATTTTGATGGTCCAGCACCTCTTTCATGCGACTCACTTAATGAAATCTATGGCTGCAAAAGAATTACAAGAATGGATATCAAAGTATCTTATTATTAGACTATGCTATACTGTACCTCATCACTTATAAACACCGAGTTGCCTACTAAGAGCTCACTACTAGCCCAACTTAACCTCATGCATCTAAAAGGAAAATGAGGCAACTTAAAATATCTGAATATTTCTTTTGAAACTTGAAACTCAAAATCTTAATATGGCCACACTATCTATTTCAGCAACATATAAATTATTTTGACCTTTGACCAATTAAAACCATAATCCCTTCAGAGTAAGTTCAAATGTATGTTAAAATATAATGAACTACAGTACTGTATTCAAATTAAAGATGTACTGTACTGTATTATATCTTGACAATGTTAATTGACCAATTCATTACTATGGCCAATGACACTGTACAAAACTAATATACATTTGTGAGTTCATTAATTATTCTGTTGCTAAGTAAATAAATTCTATAATAATTGAATTTACTGAAATTAATAGGAAGAAAGGATAACAACAAAAGATAATGAAATCATTATTGTTTTGAAATGTTTAATCCTCTTCTAAACATCTTAAGTACATATAGTATGGGTATTTCACACTGGATTGTGTGCCAAACATGATTTCCAGAATACAAAGCAATGAATTCTTTCAGTTCAATGCAACCACTTTGTATCAACTGAATTAATCAGGTGTTGGCAGAGTATTGTCTTGTAATCCAACACATGCATGGTGCAGGATTTCTGTACTTTCTAACTGTGTTCTGACTGGGGAGAAGGCATCACTATGACACTAATGAATAACAACCTCATTTATGATGTACAGTACACTGAGTTGTAGTTTACTAAATGACTCCGATAAACAGATTACTGAACAGCCATATCTAATACAATTTTCAATGAATGTATTGTATGCACACACACACACATGCACACATCCATACACACACAGTACACATACACATCCATGCATATACACACAAACAAAAAATAAGGTTACAATTTATATAATACAAACTTGTTTGAATTTACAACTACAGTACGAGAGGATTTTTTCCTCACCAATGTCAAGAAAATATAGCAAAGTGAAACACCAATAGTGTCTTTCGTGAAGGTCAACATGTACATCCTATCTCATGAAGGATGTTTGTGCCATTAAACTGCAATCCTGTGTCAAGAGGTGTACAAGAACACAACATGCAGTATAATATTTTACAGCTAAAAATGAGTGTCAAGTAAAGTTTGTGGGTTGTTTGCTCATCTTATTCCATTGCAGGTGATTTAATGTTAAGGAACGTCACCATACCTCATACAGTGTAGCAGCAGTACAGTATTTATAATTAATATCTAACAAAGCCACTATGTCATGAAGTTATTTTGTGGTCAGTGTAAGAATGTACATACATTATATGGCACGAACCCTGATGTCAAAAGCTCTCACATAGGATAAAGCACAAGGGTTTGGCAGAAATAATACAGCTGTGAGGTCAAGGGTGTATCTATTCCAAGGTATGAGAAGGTGATCTGGTGGAAAAAAAAGATCCCAGGTTTACAGGGACTCAGGGTATTCAATGATGTCAAGGTTACAATGTACTGTATATCTATTCTGAAGGAGGTGTTTCATTTGGGCAAAAGGATTTGTCCACTAACTGTGAATAATAATAAAAAAAAAAAATTGTTCCTTGGAGAAAATTGCTTTGACCTGAATTTGAAAGGTTACACATTTATCCAAACTAAAATTCTTGGCATTACAGGTCATCATTCCATGTCAAGTACTATGGGGGTTAATTGCTAACACCACTAGGATTTAAAGGACTTATGTCTCTCAGACCCCATTTTAAGGTTAAGATTCAGATCCTCATCTTTATATCAAGGTTAGAATCATTATTTACCCAATGTCAGATTCTTAGGCCAAAGAACATCGTCCCACCATAAGAAAATGTTGAGGAGATGTACAGTAGATGTAATCTCATTTAAAGTTGAGGATGAAACAGAACACCCTCATTTCAGTGTCAAAGATGAGAGTTATTTCTCAATTCAGGGTCATCATCACCACCTATCCAGTGGTGCGAGAGAACATCACAAAGGGTCTTTAAAAGCAATATACTTACTGCAACCTTATTTTTTGGAAGCAAAGATCAAGGTCAAGAAAGTTGTGATGTCCTGTACATTTATCCCATGACAGGAACCTTGATGCAAAACAATTAGGGTTGTGAAAATCTAATTTCTTGGATGAACTGAAGATCATAATCACAACTTACATCCTCTAAAAGGCACCAAGACATCAAAAACAACATTCTAGTCAAGAAGAAAGGCAAGAGAAACACATTTACGGTAAATAAAATATAAAACTAGGTCACTAGGGCCCTATTTTGAGTCAGTACAGGTATACATATCTGTCCCATAACCAGTAGCCTGGAGCTAAAAGCCATCACTGATATTATATGATGTACAAAAAACAAGTGGGAGAAGATGGAGATGGCATAAAAACAAAAAAGACACTTAGAAACAATGGCCACAAGCCTACAAGTTATTTAAAAAAAAAAGTCTTGATTATAACCAAACAGCTGCAACCCAAAACAGACAAAAATAAAGTTCACCAATAAAATTCAAATTTCAGTTTGTAGAATTCAGACAGTATTTTCATTCATAAGCACATTAGAAAGTAGCAGAGATAATTCTAAGGAGTTAAAGATTACCATACTGTAATTGGATTTAATATGCACGCACACACACATATGGATAAAGTAGGCTGTGTGCATATGTGTAGGCATGTTCATGTACAGGTATACATACATACTGTACATTCATTTATGCACTCATACATACAAACATATATATACCATTCACCATATAATCATATAAACTTTTGAAAAGCTTGTCACTCCCATAAACTGAAAATTGACAGCATTGAAAAATCTACATTGTACGTTAAATAGAAAACTGGAAAGAAATAAACTTATAATTTTATATGATTTTTAGTTTTTCTGTGTTCAGGATATTACAGGTGCTGATTAAAACTTGACTAACGAGAACAAA